TTTTTGTTTTTTTTTTTTTTTTTTTTGTCATTTGACAGGCTTACGTTTTACAAGTTGCAGTTATTAGTACTTTTAACTTTTAACTTTTTTTTTTTCCCCCTAATAATGTTTTTGGTATAAAAGGGGTGGGGGTGGAATCAATAAGGCCTTACAGATGTGTGTACCTTGGTCAATGGCCACCTCAACGTGAGGTTCTATGGTGGATCCTGGCCTTAGCGCTTGAGGTTTGCCTTTCACTAAATTTATTGGAGTTGGGAAAAACATGTCGAGCATCAAGTCTGATTAAAGTGCTGATTTTGCGGGATGAATTTGGGTTAAATTAGACTGAGTGGGAAATTTATAGCTGCAACATTTGGTATTTTGTAATTGTTCATTGAATCTCTTTGGTGCAGGTTCTGCTATTGATGTTTGTAATCACGAATCGTATCAGGATGTACTGCTATTTAATAACTTAGGCTTTTTAGTTTGGTCATTTAATTTTTTTGCTCTGTTGAACTTGTTTATCAATTTTAAAGATTGCTTTTGAAGTTTAGAGCATTGATGTGTGTGTTTGGTTTGCAATTACAAACATGCTATCTGACATTGAACAGAAAAGATACAAATTGTTGCTTCCACTTTTTTATGCTTTGGAAAGTGAGAACTCCCATTTGCAGCCAAACGAGATTCCAAACAGCCTTAGAATTGAGCTTTTGAATATCTTGTGTTTCTGTAATGGGAAGTGTCTTTCCTTTCTTTAGGCTCTTGTATAATATTTTTACGGATAAGGCTTCTTTAAGGTGAGTGTGTTTGTAATGTATTATTTTTTATCTTGGCTGAAATTTGTAACTGTTTTTGTTTTGGAACTCCTGCAGATGCATTTTGGTGGATGAGAATGACCGTGTGGTTGGTCATGATTCCAAATACAATTGTAAGTGGACTTTTCATTTTTAAAATTTTTAGTTTGCAATTGCAAGGACTTACATTGTTCGCTGTTGAAATAATTGTTTAGAATTTTTTTTTGTTGCTTCAATTCCTTATAATTTGTGGTTTTTTGATGATGTATGCTTTTCTGATTTACGTGTTTGTATAATTTGATGTTACTACTATATAGCTGGGGTGTAGTGTAGTATCACTAAATTTTCTAATCAGACACTCTGATATGGGTTTGAGAATTTTTTTTATTAACATCGTGGTTCATCATGCTGTGATTAAAGGAGTAATCTAAATTTTATATTTACTCTACACAGATTGGTTTCTAATGATTGTGTTTTATTAATTATAGTTTTTAGATTGAATTACCAGCTATGCAGTGTGTTTTTTTACCTCTCACACCCATGTACATATATGGAAGCATATCAAGTGAGAGCACTCTTCAGAGAGATTAATCTTGACCATATAGTTATATATGAATGGTTAAGACCACCTCTTCTCTTGCTCTTGCTTGATATTTCCCCTGTATATAACTTCTAATGAACATCATTAATGAGAAACATCTTAAAATTAGTTTATAATGTACTAGAATTATGCTGTTATTTAAATGCTAACAACCTACTAAATACCAATGATTCAAGCCTAAAAGAGCTGCAAATTAAAATTTTAAATGCACCATAGATTATTAGTAGATTTTGATTAAATGTGATCAGTGGACGCCTCAAATAAAATGTAAATTTTCAGTGCTCCTATGGGTCTTGGCTTCCTAAAGCAAAAATCCTTCGGAAATTTGGAACATGTTTATTAGATATCAAGTTCTCCTTTTCTTTTCATTTTCTGTTGTTATTGTGCCCCTCCTCCGCCTAAGGACCTGGTTAATTTATTATGTTGAGCTTGGATAATTTTATTAGGTCACTTGATGGAAAAGATTGAAGCTGAAAATTTGTTGCATAGAGCTTTCAGTGTGTTCCTGTTCAACTCGAAGTATGAGTTGCTTCTTCAGGTATGTTTCTTCATTGATATTTTTCTGGCCTCATAAGCTTGTAGTTTACATCTTGTTTTACCATAGATCTATTGATTTCAAAAGTGTCATGCCGAATTGGAAGCTCATTTGTTGTCTAGCATGTGTATATTTATTTCTTATTGTTGTTTCAGTCTTTTTTGTGCATACTAATTAGAAAGATTTACATCTGCATGCAAATTATCATGTGGGTTAAAGACCTAGTGCTTAATATATGAAGGGGAATGGCTTTTTTGCTGCTAACTACTTCAATGTGACTCTTCTATAATTGATTTAAAATAAGGAAAGTCAATAAAATACCAAATCTTTGCTTTCATCCATTGAAGTTTCTCCACACAAATAATTGAGTAACAAGGTCATATTTACAAGCTATAATTATTATTTTTTCTATTCTGACCACATCTTCGTTGTGATCTGTACATTGAATTTTTAAATGTAAGCAGCACTGTAACATTTAATTGCCGCTTTTTTAAAATTGTTATCGCTGTTACTAAATCTAAATTCACTATATTGCTCTTCTCTCTCTCTCTCTCCTGGATGTCTGGATGACTATCTGGTGAAAATTTCTCTATGTTGCATGTGTTTTTTCAAGTCTTAGACTCATGTTTTAGTTCAGTGTGTTGACTGAGATTCTGTGTTCTTCTTTATGAAGCAACGATCTGCAACAAAGGTAACATTCCCTCTTGTGTGGACAAACACCTGTTGCAGCCATCCACTGTACCGTGAATCTGAGCTTATTGAGGAGAATACCCTTGGTATATACTGTGTTCCTTTATATTTATTCAAACGACTATATAACTTTGTCATTGCTACTTTTTATTAATATTTTTCTACCTTGTATTACCAGGTGTAAGAAATGCTGCTCAGAGGAAGCTTTTCGATGAGCTCGGTATTCCTGCTGAAGATTCTGCTGAAGATTTACCAGTTGATCAGTTCACCCCATTGGGTCGCATCCTTTATAAGGCACCATCTGATGGCAAATGGGGAGAGCATGAATGTAAGTTGATTAAGTGATTTCAAATGAGACAGCAAGCTGATTTTGTTGTATAAGCAACTTGGGTTAAGTCACAATAATTTAGGCAATGCAAACATAAATCTGGTCATATTGATTTTTTTTATTTTTTTTTATTTTTTTATAATTCTAGCATCATAGGGCCTAATTTGCTGAGATACTGTGGCTAATTCTAACAGGATGTTTTCTTGTGAGTTTATTGTTGTGGAACTGGAAGGAATGTTTAGTGTTGACAACTTTTCTTTGCCCTCCTTGATTGCAGTGGATTATCTGCTTTTTATTGTGCGGGATGTTAACGTTAATCCCAATCCTGATGAAGTGGCTGATATCAAATATGTGAACCGCGATCAGTTGAAGGAGCTTTTGAGAAAAGCTGATGCAGGTGAGGAAGGTCTGAAGCTTTCCCCTTGGTTCAGACTAGTTGTGGACAATTTCTTATTCAAATGGTGGGACCATTTGGAGCGAGGGACTCTTGGTGAGGTCATTGACATGAAGACCATTCACAAGCTGACATAAGATCAGAGAGCTTGCATCATGTAATGAAGGGTAGCTGTATTCCGAGCCAATAAGAACGAAATTGGACCTATTTTGAAAAGAATTTTCGGAGCAGTTGCCCATATAATAATTGTTGATTTTTCTATTATTCGATGATAGTTAGAACATAAAACGTTTTGGTGTAATCTTGATTTAGAGCAGATTTCTTTTCCTTTTTTGCAAACTTCGGATTTTGGGATGCATGCAAGTACTCAATATTGAACCCTCATATTTATGTTATCTTGGCATTTAAAGGCATTGTTAGGTATAAGATGTTCGTGATTTGAATCTCAAGTTTATCGTGGTGGTGGCGATCGTTTGTTAGTGAATTTTTGTTTACTTTTTTCTAAAAGAGAAAATGGTTAGGGTAAGTTTGGCTCCAAATCTGAGAATCAGTAAATCCCATGATCACGTGTGGAGATTCAGAAATATAGATCGAGATTGCAATCCTCCTTCCACAGCGAAGCATGAGTTTTAGTAGTTAGCAGACAATTGAGTAGACTGCATAATAGAAAAGCATTTCTGTAGCGGTCTTTCCGATTCACAGAATAAATAAATAATTTGATCAGCCACTAAATAAGTATTGTTCTCGCAGCAAATATGATTTCGATATCAGAGCATTCAATAATTTTCTTCTCTCTGTTTTTGGTCTCATTAGCTTCTTCAATGAATACCTACCTCCTTTGAAAGCGTTTCCTTTGTAACCTAGCGGTTGAACCTTGTAATCCTGATTTTGGTTTGTTTCCTAATCTTTGATCTCAAATTTTTTTTTGTTACATCCATGATTATTAGAATTTGTGTATATCAAATGTACTTATCTTATCAAATAGTGATTTATATCTTTTATTTGGTGTTTTAGTTGAGTCATTGTAATTAGCTAGATAAATGGGTCAATTACCCTTCTATGACAAACTTTATTGGCATTTGGATAACATAACAAGGTTGATTGGCTTTCCGCCTATTAGACTATAGATTTATATCCTATGTTTGATTTTAATTGAATCATTGTAATTGGTGAGATAGATTAGTTTGCTACCATCTTATGACTAGCTGATCAACATTTAAGTAATATAATAAGGTTAATTGATCCAAAACTTATAAGAATGTGGTAGGTTAACCCTCGACCTATGATGGTACATAGTTCACTAATATCGAGTTTAAAAAGACAGAGAATAATTGACTCATGAATCAAGTCTAGTTTATAAGATCATGTCATTATTTGTTAGATACTTGGTCACTAACCTTACCATGTATAGATTAGTAGATTTGGTTGATGAAAGATGATACATCTGTCTAGCACCAGTAAGGATATAAGTACAATTTTTTTCTATGTGTTGTTTGTTTTGTTCTATAATTAGATTAGATCGAGAGTTTTATTCCAATAATTCATCAAATAAAATTCTACATCATGCTATTAACTCTAATAAAATTGTATATAAATTTTTTTCACAAAATTTTATAGGTGATGCTTATGTTTCTAAATTATTGAATGGATTAGACGCCAGCCACGTAGATTAAATTGGTTAATAATGAAGCTTAACCAACGAATTTCTTTTCCTTTTATAATGTCATTAGTTAATCTATAAATTAAATACTATATCAATAATTTTAACAAATACGAATATTGAAAAAGTCTTTCTAAAAAGTATTTTTTTTCAAGTTGTTATTGTTTTTGTAAAAAATCTCAATAAGATTTATGATCAATTAATGGCCAATTCATGCCATAGTTGATTGATGAGGATAAATATGATAATAAGTCAAAATATCCGTACTTAGCAATTTATCGAATCAACTGGTTATGCTTGAGCTTGAATAAGTAATTAGAGCAATTCTTGCATGCGCAGAAACCTAACGCATGACATTTGCATACAATACAACCACTAAAAATTGAGAACTCATTAAAATTAAAAATAAAATCAAAAGCATGTTAGATCCTAAACTTTTCTCTCTCACAACTAGTAGACTTCATAATAAAGGAGAGAGAAAAGCACTACCACGACACTATCGCAACTTCATAATTGTCGCAAACCATGTTACCTTCTCCTTCTCAAAACCACTGATCTTGGAAGCAAGCTCCAATGACATCCTCTCCGTACACAACCCCCGCAACAATTTCACCGCTTCCTTTCTAACCTATCCATTTCCGGCTTAAATTCCAACTTCCCCCTCCAACTTCCATCAACTCAAGTCAGTTCCAACTCGCTCAATCCTATCAAGTTAGGCTCATAAATGAATCTATTTATTGATTATTTATTGGTTGTATCAAGTAAATTCATTCGATTCATTCATCTATTATAGTAAAAATAAATAATGATTCAAATTCAATTAATTTATTTAATTTTATGGATGGATAGTAATTTATTTATTATTTTTTTCTTTCCAAAATTCATTAGATTATAACATGAAATGTTTATTGGATAAGAATTTTATAAGACTATATTGACAATAAAAGAAAAAAGTTTTTTGAATTTTTTAAAAGACTGTGTAAGAATATAATGACTTAAAGAAAGAAAAATAAAATATTATAAAAATAAAAATTATTTAATTTTTAAAATATGACTTTTATGGATGGATTGAATATTCATCTATAAAAATAATTGTTAAGAGATGAATTGAATGGATTTTTTAGTCTTTAAATAGATTAGATGAATTGAATTTTTATATGATGTTCTAATAGATTTAAATATATTAATGAGTTATTTTTATTCAATTCATTATGACCTATTTAAAAATTTATCCGATATATCCATTTGTCTCTCTAGTCCTTTGTGACCCCACTCTTAAGCTCTTTTCTCAAATCTCTCGAATTTTTATCACAATATCACTTCCTAAACTTTTATTTATCAAACTTCCACTCCCATGAGATTAATTAGGTAATCGTTGTACTTTTTTATATTCATGAGAAGTTGGATTTTGAGGATCTGAATTCTCAATGGATTTTTTTTAGTTTTATTTAAATATGCTTTATATATTTGATTAAAATAAAATATAATTTAGAAAAAAAATACATATGATTTCTTTTAAAATTATTCAAGCATATTATATTTAAAAAAGATAAACTATTGTTATTTAAATGGGGACACATTTTTATTGAATGATCAACAATTTTACAATAACTACATTTTTATAGTTTGCCTTTTCATGAGATTCATCTTAATATATGTATATGTGAATTTTGGATAATCTTTGAAATTTTTTTTTTCAATTTCTGTCATGATAAAATCCATCTCATTATTAGTGTTATGAAAAACAGATCGGTGATCAACTTGGCCAAAACACTTGATTAATGAGTCACTTATTAAATCAATAAATTACTAGTTAAACTGTATTAATTAATATATTATTAAATATATAATTTTATATTAAACATATAGTATATTACCTATTGTAAAAAAATATTTTAAAACCACATTTTAATTTAGTGGTTAATAACTTTTTAAAAAAACACGTGGACTTGGTTCAACTTCTATTAGATGCAAATTTTTTCATAATTTTTTTCTAAACTTCTTCCACAAGCCAATCAATTTTCACCAATAAATCAACATGAATAATGAAAAACAAAATAGGTTGGCACTTTCAACAAATAAATTACTGTATTTAATAAATTTATAATTTTTTATATTAAAAAATTGCGTATAACTTAAATTTCTCATTTAGTTGCCAAACACTTTGAGATATGTTTAGAAATCAATTGAATTGATTTCAACTAAGATTGAAAAAAGAGCTACTCTCACAAACTTTTATTTATTTATTTATTTTACATCAGAATTGGTATCCAAACATATACTTAAAATTGTAGTGAGTATACACATTTTAAGCTATATTCTACTAGTTATATTGTTCATGTTTTTGATCATGACACTATTGGTCAGTTACTATTTGATAATTTTAACAATTCAAATCACATAAATTCTCATACACTTTTGATTTTTAGTGACAATAAAAAGAACAATACAAATGCAATGATTGATAAATTTATTTTTACTCAATTTTTTTGTATTGTGTATTTTAATGTAGTTTATGTTTGAATAATATAAAAAATATCATGTATTCTATTTTTTTATTTCTAAATTTAATTTGTACTTCAATAATTTAAAACATATACGGATTCTATATAAAATTTAGAGGGAACAATTTAAAACAACTACCCATTAAAAAGCCAACTTATTTACTAAAGTATTCTTAACTTGGGCTCTTGAAACATCATAATTTATGTCCACACAATGAGATATTTTAAAATTTCAAAAACAACTTTAATTCTTCTCTAGTTTTTATGTATCTTAACTAAGACATGTATCTTTACCACATGCCTAACAACTTAATCAACTATAACATCATACAACTATACAACATCATCATCTATCAACTTACAATTTATGCAATCTATACAAACATAATCATCATTAAACACTCTATCAACTCAAAATATAATGAGTATAAACAACTTACAACAATAGACAACTTACAACAATAGGTAACTTATAACATTAGGAAACTTAAATCATCATCATATATCATCATATAACTAATTCATTGTCCTTCAAATAGAAACAACTCAAAACATCTCATATAAGTCATACAACTCATGCTCAACGTCATCCTTTAGGTGTTTGATACCATTCAGACATGGGGCTTCTTGTCTCGAATCACACCCAGTGTGGATGAGGTAGAGAGCCTTCCACTCTCTTATGCTAACATAGCAAAATCCATGCCTGACCCCAATCAAGTAGAGGGCCTCTACTTGACTCACGTTTGATGTCACTACTTTGACGCCTAACATCAATTCAAACAGAGACAATTCTCTCTTCACTCTCGGTGATACCAATTCTATGTCCAACGTCATGAGAGCGTGAACCCTTGACCTTAAGCCACACTCGACACCATGAGGGAGCACCCGACACCATGAAGGAGCACCTGACACAATGACAATTTTTGCACTTGACAAAAACTCAAATTGCCTAAATCCAACTTAAACCTTACCAAAGCCAACATGCAACAAGAAATACAACATCTATGCAACATGTAGGACTCATTTGTATCGTAAAAAAACATGCATCCATTAAGATTCAAGATCACCATACTATACTTCAAAACATCTTCATCAACTTAACTCAATCTTTCAACAATAATCCACTCACAGCCAACAAGTGATGAATGTAAACAATCAATTAAGCATCCAAATTCAACAATGATTCAAACATTAAATTTTCCTTACCTCTAGTTGATCAATCGAGAGGAGAAGAGAGGAACAAAAATCACATGACTCCAACCTAAGATTCTCAACTTCACAAGCTTTGTCAACTCCATTACCTCGATTTAGCTGTAGTGAAGAGTGAAAAATGGTTTTTAGTGGAAAAAAAGGGAGAAGAAAGAATAGGGTTCCAGAAAACTTTCTCTAACTTCTCTAACTTTTCTTAAAACTTGAACTTATAAGATTCATGTCTTAAGAAAAATTTTATATATCATTCCTTTTACATAACCAACTTAACTCACTCTAAAATTACCTTAGAGACAATTTAATCCTTAGAATTTTTTGACCATAAGAGTTCTAAGACAACATGTTGACAACTAATAATAATTAATTATATATTACATAAATAATTAAATTAAAATGCCTAAATCACACAATGTTACATCTCATGAGTATAAAATTGTGTGGCATTTCCCTAAATAATTTCTTGGGGGTGACAATATATATGATGAATAAAAATTTTGAGAGTGGCAATGTGATAAAAGATTCCAAATCCCTATGCGCTTCTACCTCCTCCATTCTCATCACCGACGTTATTGTTTCATGGCTCTAGGAACACATCCTTTGTTGCTCCTCACTCTTTTGTTTTGGAGGGTAATTGTTGAGGGAGAGAGAAAAATAGTTTGAAATCGGAATTGCTTTTAATTAATTAACTTTTAAAATTTTAATGAGTTGTTAATTTTATAGTGGTTGTGTGCAAATGTGACGTGTTACATTGGCGCGCATACAATAATTACTCAAATTATTTTTGACAAGAGAATGCTAACAAGGTATTTTTTTGATATACTTCTTTTACCATACTTATTGTCATTAGTTAAAATTTATCCCGTAGCACTCATTAAATAAGAAAAAAAAGAAAAATTCATAAATTTTATAATTTCTATCAAATTTAAATCATTTATAGAAAAAATATTAGAGTATGTTGCATTGCTTTTAGTTTAACACCAATAAAAGGGGGTTATTTATTTAACTGATTTTTTTTAGAATATTTATTAACTTGATAAGAGTTAGAGGATATGCTTATATATAATTCTCTAAAGCCATATTATCTATATATCTATCAAGTTATATTTAGACAAATTTTCAAATAAATACTTATAGAAGAAAACTATTTTTTTTTCTCACAAATTTAAATTAATTTATGTATTTCAACTTTTATAGAAATTTTTATCTAACTTTTCCACAGGTTAAAGTGCATAAAGTTTATTTTAACTTATATTTTATTTATTTATTTTGTTTTTACTTATTTTTCTCACTGAGACGTTTATCGAAATAGGATCTTGTTTTGACACATTATTATTATTATTATGATTTTATTCATTAAATTTTTAAATAATCAATTATATATTAAAATATTAATGAATGTCAATATAAAAATCAATGAAATATCAAATAAATTTTTACCAGAGGGGTTAATAACTGTTGAATCGATACAAATTACGCAAACAAGTTTATTTTCATTTCAATCAATCGTTCACTAATTGTTTATAATAAAATTAGAAAATATGACCTCATATATTATTCAAACTCCTTCACTACTAAATTGACAATACTTTATTTGTGCCAAAAAAAAAAATTATTTATTAAAGAAGATATATATATATATATATATA